AATGCAGCAGGAGGTAATGAACAAGCTTCATTCGCTGTTCTCTGCATTCCTACCCAGATCTTCCTCCTTCCCCCATCCCTCCTTACCCCTTCTTTCTTCTCAAAATAACATTACACTGTTTTCCACATCACACTGTGTGGAGCAGCTTCTAATTTAATGCAAGGCATCCTACCCAGACAACCCTTTCCCAGGGCATCACTTTACCAAGTCAATCTTGTTTTGAAAATACCCTCTCGATTTTCTCATCAGTCCCAGGTAGATCCTCCCTTATGCGTCAGGACCACTCACTGTCAAACAGATTTTGTAGTCTTCTTCATAAGTCAGCTAACCTCCATCTTAAAAAATACTTTTGTTTTTTGACCCCTGACCTCGTTACTCACTGCATGGGTGATCAATGGGTTTTGACTCACTTCCTCATAGCCTTGCTTATTGTTTGGCTTTGGTGGTTGCCCTAAAGAAAATTTACTTCAGAGACATTCTGTTTCTTATGGTACAAAACACACAATGAGTAAAACGAAAGAGTGTCTAAAGGCATCACCCCTTCAAGTTTAAAACAGCAATAGTACACCAAAATACTGTTTAAGACAAGAATATTGGCAACCTTGGGCCCCAAGGACTAGGCTCTGCTTTACATAAAATCTTCTCCTGCTTCCTTAATACTGAAAGCCTGGCGGTATTTTTATGCCTGGCTTGCAGTAAAAATGTGGTGTCTAGGCACTACCATAGCCTAAAGACCTCTCTGTGCTAGGTGCTGCACAAACACAGATCACGGAGGCAATCCACTGCAAAGGAGCCTGATGTTCAAATACCTGAGGAGTAGTGAGAAGTGGGACCTGGGGAGGAGAGAGGGCTGCAGGGCAGTGCAGCAGCTGATCAGCCCTCACCCTGCTCCCTGCAAGCATCACAGACAAGTGTTTCGAGGAGTTTGAAGGAAGGTGTCCCGCTGCTTCCCAGCCATGCTGAGGTCTGGAAGGGGCAGAGCGGAGAAGGCAGAGGAGCACTGTTTGGAAAGCAAAAGAGACACCCAGTGGAGCCTACCGCTGGGGCAGGCATTGCCCTCTGTGCCGGATGACGGAGGAGGCCGTAGAGGTGAAGGCAAACAAGAGGTTTCTGCTCTATACAAACAAGATGGCAGCAGGAGGACATCCGAATGGACTAAGACGATCGAAGCAGTGAGCTGGGGAAGTGCTTTCCACCCCAGCGAGATGGCAAGGCTGGGGCAGGGCAGCATTTGTCCCCACCAGAGACAGGAACGTTGCAGTAGCAGGATGCTCTGAGCATCCACCAGTGCGGACCTGCTAAAAGCAAGGGCTGGAGGAACCTCTTATAGTCCATGGCAAAATCCCAACAGACTTTGGTGGAAGGAGAGTCTGGTTCCAAGCTATAGGTCATTTCTGCATAACTCTTTACAAAACATGTCTCATATGTAATATATGTTTTCACCATTGTCTTCACTGCTGCACTTTATGCCTTCTCTCCTTTTTCTTTGATCTCCCAGTTTCCCAACAGGGAAAAAATGTTCACAAAAAAGTTGATTTCTTTTAGAAATGTTGGAGAGCAAGGAAGAGATCTGGCAGCTTTGTTTATGTTGCTGTGAGCACATCATATACCAAAGAATGATTTTTTTCTGGCATTTACTGTGAAGTATCACATCTTGTTTTGCCAATTTTTTGGCCTGCTAAGTAAAAAAAAACCTGGAAGTCCAAGGTAACTTGTAGTATCTTAAATTCCAACTTGCAGGAGCACCTTGAAATGCTGCATCTGAAAAACCAAAATATTAAGACATTTTAGGCCATGAGAAGCAAATAACGAATACTTGAGTGTGCTTAGTAGCAGAGGAAAAAATCCCTTTGACATCGGATCACACGCACAATGTGAGGAGAGGCAAATACTGCCTGTTACTTTAATACATGGATGTGATTGCTTTCTGCTTTACATTGATTTTGTACTGTGTGAATTCATTGGCTTCAGAATAGTAACTATTGATGTGCAGTGGTAAAAGCAAATAGAAAATCTAGTCCCATCTGTTACAAAAACCAAGGCTCTTCTTGTTTTTATGGCAAAGTTTTTGCTTCAGTGAAACTATAAATGAAACAACTAGTTTAAATTGAAATACCGTTTTTCCCAGGTTAAGACTGTAGAATTTCTGAGGAAGGAGTTGGCAGAACTTGTTTAACCACCTGACAGCAATGATTTTAGTATTAAGGGAATGGAAAACCTCTTCAAATCGGCAGCTGCAAGGAGTTGCTTGTGGACATTTTTCACAGTAGTCACAAGATGCACTCTAAACAAGGCTCTTGAGGTTTGTTTTTCCCCTCCAGGCAGAGAAACAACTAAGAAAGTTTAGCTTAGAAAATAGATAGAAAAAATAGACAGAAAAATAGAAAAAGAAATAGATAGAAAATAGATAGCAAACATGGCATTCTCTGCTCAGCTTGTTCCACCTGCCACCTATTAATCTCCCCATCTCATTAACCTCTCTCTCATACCTTCCCACCCCCTCAGACTCTGAGGTGAGCATTTCCACTCCCCTTTTCTTCTCTGTATTGCCCACCAGTACTACCCGTGATACGGGTATCAGTAAGGCCAGGCCGCTGTCCCTTGCCCCATAGCAGAGGGGCCCCAGAAATCCCTCCACTAGACCCCAGTGGGGTCTAGCCCTGGCTCCCAGGGACATGAGATCTGACAGGCTTTGCTTGCCCTCTACAGCAAGGGAAGTACAATTTGCTTCACGGTAGCCTGGGATCATATTGAAGGGAAAGTCAGAATAACCACACTCCCCTGATGTGGTAAATCACTGCAAGCCATCTTCCCCACCAGCACTTCCTCCGCAGTTGCACAACTACCCACAAACTCAGTTTGCAGCATTCCAGCACTTGTTGCTATAGTGGCCCTGTCCCTGCACCGCTAAAGGGTCTTGCTGGCCCAATTTCTTCCTCTTTGGTGTCCTCCATACGAGCCATATCGCCAAAGCTCAAATGAGTAAGCACCACACACACTTCTGCAGATGAAGGGAACCAGGCTATTCAGTCCTGTGACTCCTCGCTAGGAACCAACTGGGTCCTGCTCTGCCCAATCAAAACCATCAGCTAATGTCTAACTGCAGACACTTTATTAACCATCTGAATCTAATCCCAGGTAAATTGCATTTCTCTGATTCTCTGCCAATCAGGGATTAAACATTAATTGGGTTCATTGACAATCACAAAGGCCGAAACACAGGTCTCCATGCTTCAGTCTTTGTGTCTAATCATCTCTTTCTCCTGTCTGCTTTAATTTTTGTTTTGTCCTTGTGCAATCTGCAGCTGGTAAAACATTCTCCAGATGATAAGACCCAGTACTACTACCGTTAACAGATCAATAACCCCCCTCACTCTGGCAGGGAAGAGCAGAGAGCTCACAGACCTGTCAGTCATCTGGAGGTGTGAGGTTGCGAGTGACCTATCCAGTTTCTCCTCTGTTGATGTCACTTAATGAGGTTCTCAATCAACACAAAACTCACAGCAACACCCAAGAGAGCCTGTTATATCTCAGTGATTCTTGATTTACTCAAATACGACTCAGACTTCTGGAGCTTGTGCTGATTTGGGGATCTATGAGGTTCATCAGCTGGAGCTGCATTCATTTAAGTAGCTGCAATACCCAAACTAATCCTCAAGTAAAGAGTAAGATTGCAACATGTCTCTTGGCTTTGTGGAGATAAGGTTGACAAAGCAACAGCTGCCTGGGTGCTGTCTATTTTAGGGGTCACTTATGTGTTAAAAAGAGTTTGCTCTCCTATAACGAAACAGCATGCAAGCAAACCTGCGCTACTGGAATTGCACGGAAGTTGCTAGAAGTAACACCAAAAATAAGACCTGGCTTTGTCTTCAAAGAGTTCCCTGTTGGCACCTCTGTCTTAGCCAGAGATTGCACCTCTCTATCCTTCCATCAGCAGAGCTCTGCCAGGGAAATGTGGTAGTGAACAGGTCGTACTGGCAAAAACACACTCCCAGTGATGTGGCTTCTTTCTCCCGTGAAGAAGGGTTCTTCTACGTCTGTATAAAACACAGCCTGACTGAATTTTTATGTCCACAGTAGATGCACTTTGCAGGTATAACACTCCACAAGCCCAGCCTAAGGATGGTATCTATCTGGAACAGGCGTAGCCTGAGTGCTAAGCACCAGGAGGGATAGTTTTCTAAGTTATGCATGGTCAAAATAATTTATCGTATTAAATATGCCACATGAATCAGAGCAAACTAGATGGTTTGTTCAGCCTAATGAAAAGGAGAAATCATTTGCAAACAGAGCAGCTATGAACTGTTCTGATCTCCACCAAGCTCCAGAAATGCCACTGGGGGACATGGATAGCTCACTAGAAATTGTGAGGTGGTGCCAAGAAGAAAACAGTGTTCTTGCAGAACAAGGTCTCAAGCTAATCCTGAACGTAATGGCTAAGCAGAAGGAAAGATTTGGAGCCACATAGCAAGGAGGGAACGACAGACGCTGTCTCTCACCTGTGCTCTCAGTTGGATGGTGCAGAACGACTCTAATGTTTGCACAGTTAAACCCATCCCTAAAGCTCAAGCTAATGTTGCAGAATGGGCCCTTGTATAACTCCCAACATGTGCTGAGAGACTATACAGGGATATAACAGGTTAGATAAATGCAAAGGAAAGAAGAAAATGGGTTAATTCCTAATATAGGATAGATCTACTGGAATGTGCTTTAGTAAGACATTGATTCAGCTACAGCCAGGAGTACGTCTCAAAACCCAAAGCCTAAAGCATTAGCTACTTCCGTTAGCCATTGACTAGAAGTTACCTTCTGTACAGATGTTTGAAATACGATTAGTCCATTTATGTCCTGGGGTGCTGGCAGATTTTCGATTGATTGAATAGATTAAAGCTGGATAAATAATTCATTAAAGAAATAATTTATTTGAAGAATTTCTCTCCTGTTTTGTTTGCAGATTGGAGTGTGGCAGAAAAAAGTGCCTTACTGATTGGACATTATTTCTCAGCAACTTCCTACGCATAATTGTAGCTTGGTTCAACTATGCTGACAGCTTGTTTTCAGCACTCAAAAGCTGCAGCGCTATCAGTGGAAAGCAGGTCTGGCTGGTTACTAACAGTCTCTACCTCCACTGGAGCGGAGCTGTGGTTTCACCTCGGCCCAGGTCAGTGCGATGCCTCTTGACGCAGAGCAGAGGGCTGAGGACAACTGAGTGCCAGGTTCCCCCATTACCTGGAAGGTGAAGAAACCTTGTGATAGATCCTTCCTTTGCAGCAAGGTTTTCCAGTGCGTTGGTTAGACCATGGAAAGCCAGCGCCGCACTTCCAAACCCAAACATTGCTCACTGAGAGGACTGCCTGCAAAGCACCAGTCCAACTGCCTGCCATGTCCCTGCAGACCAGCATTACAGGTACTTCCCAGAAAGCTCAAGCCTCAAGCCGACACAGAGCTGGTTTCCATCCACTGCCCATCCTATCCCACCTCATCTACATGCAGGAGACCACCCTGTTCATTGCAATCCTTGAGCGACAGCGAAGCTGGTATAGTCATGGCCAAGCAGAAGGTGAGTTTCCCACAGAAATTGCTACATTTATTCATTTAAGTAAACTAATTCCAAATATTTTACTGTTTATTCTGAAATGCGTGGAGCCTATGAGCATTCCTGTGAGTTAAGTCACTGGCCTGAATATCCATGAAAGCTAGTACTAAAAAAGCAACAGCCCGCTTTGCAGCCATGCACATATGCTCATTTAATTGCCTCTGCAGCATTTTGCTAGCTTTGGAATTAACATGGGAAGGGAACCAGCCAGATGGAAATGGGAAAAGAAAACCCTTCCCCAAATTCAGAGTGGCTCCTGACTTCTGGTTCCTCAGAAAAAAAGAGCTGTTCCCTTGTCCTTCGCAGAAGGAATAAAAAGCAAAATAAATATGCACATAGTTAACATTTCTTTGCCCTCCTACCCAAACAGAACCACGCTTTTTTAAACCATGTGATATGTATTGAATAAGTGTAACATAATTTTTATACCATGTCTTAGAGATTATATATATTTGGAACATCCAAATTACAGCAAGATAAAGGTCAGGGTCCTGTCAGTGCTGTGTTCCCAAAGGTACAGAGCAAAACCTTTAGCTCATCAGTGTTTTCACTTCATCTACATGCTTAATGATACGTCTTGCTACTTTAATGGAAAAAAAATCCACTTTTAAAAAGTGTTCAGTATCCATGACACTGCACACATAGTTTGGTTGGGTTGGGTACTACCTAGGAATATATTTGTCCAGCAGATTTTTTCAGAAATAGTCTCCCTGCCTTTTTCTCCCTGCCTTAGCAATCTTCTGAAATTAGTGGAATCACAGAAGTGGAAGGCAAAATTTCAAAGTAATATAGAATTTTCCAGAACCTTTATTGTGAATAAAGATATGTCAGCCACAAAGAACTCGTTCTGAAATTCAGAGAGTTTGAGTTTGCTGACCAGCAGTGTAGGAATATTGGACCTTTTTACTTCTCTATGAAGATCATCTGCATTTAAAGTTACGGTAGAAAAAAACACAGAGGTAGGAGGGGATTTATTCTTCAAAATTACCTTGGGTTTCTTCTGAAAATCATAGTTAGGCTCTCACAATACCATTCCTGTAGTGTCACTTAGGGTTGACTTGAATTTTGACTGGTAAGAGCACATGGCAGCTAAAACATAATCCTGTGCTTGGGGCAAACAAGAAAAAGGAAATACAATTTTCTTGGGATGTGGGAAATTACATCA